TATATATATATATATATATATATATTATGAAAAAACATAGAAATGTAAACATTCTAATATATATCCTATAATAAAATATTATACAAAAAATAAAACTATAGTTTTGAAAAGCTTTGATCGTCAAACAAAACGAAATTTGAAGTAAAAAAAAGGGATCTTAGATCTAAAAATTTTAGTTTTAGGAATTTACTAGTTTCTAAAATAATACAAAATTTTCGGTACATTGAAATGCTTCATGATTTTTCACAATATATAATTTTTCATATAATAATTTTTATAATATAGTATTGTATTTCTTCAACTGAATAATTTTTATATTAATATTTTATATAAAAGATATAAAAGATGAAATTAAAAGATAAATATCTTTTTTTATCTTTTTTATCTTTTACAGTTAAAATTAAAATAGCATATGTCTCAGTAGTATTTTACTGGATCATTTTTATCCCAATAAAATGTCATTTTTTATTCCAATTATATTTAATATATTTAATGAATAATCAAAGAAAATATATTACTAAACTGTATAATACTGAACAAAGAAAATATTATATATTATTTCACAAATGATATGAAATATATAAAACAATATTATAGACACAATATTCATAATGATCTAATAATCTAATAAAAATAGTTTTGAGAATATTTTGTTTATTAATGCTAGGAGCAATATTACTAAGATAAATAATATATTTATTATTTTCATTATATAATATATTAATTGTATAGATTATATAATTTATAAAAATCATAAATAATATGAGAATAATGTGAGATTATCAGGTATATAAAATAATATTGTATATAAATATTGGATAATATTATATAATATATTGGAATATAAATACTTCTATTAGTATTGAAATATAAATATATTCCAATATTATGAATTAATAATGTTAATTGTTGAAATATAAATACTTAATTATATTAAAGGAAATAATGATATCGAAATAACTTGGAATTATTTCGAATTTTCTATATAAAATATATGTTTCTTACATTGTGAAACTTATCTCGATATAGTGTTATCATTAACTGTGAGACAACTCAAGAAAAAGTTTCATCAAAAGATGAAACTTTAAAACTGTAAAAGATATTTGATATCATAAGTATATACATATCAATGAATACATATTATAAGCGATTTAATTTGATTAATTGCTGAAAATAGCTAAATTAATATTATATAATTAGTAAAATAGTATTAACAAAACAGTATATCTAATTCTATCTAATACTTAATTTAACATTTAATTCTTTAATCAAGATTATTTTTTTAGAATTTAGATTAATAAATATAAATATTTCATATTACAATATTAAATTATATTATTTGCTTTTAATTAGTTTGCTTCTAATTTAAAAGTGTATACTATAAATATTTATGTATATTATATAGTATATTGTATTTATGTAAAAATATGTATGTAATTATATCAGATATTATAGTTATTCGATCAATTTGAGACTATTTTAAAAACGTATGCATATATATATGTATATATTTTAATTTTTTAATACATATATTGTAAATATGAAAGAAAGTTGAAATATGAAAAAAAATAAATGCATACAAAAGAATAATAATTGAATTAGAATGACACATTCCAGCTGCTTGTGAGGTGTGTCATATTCCAGCTGAAATTTGACTTTCTTTTTGTCTTTAATAATGGCTTTAAGTCCCTTGGCTTAAAATCAATTTAAAATAGCATTTTTTTTTAAAAAAAATTTATTTTTTTAAAAAAATTCAAAAAATTTTTTAGTTAAAGAATATTAATCAAAAGTTAAATTTTAGAATATATAAATTTTTTTATTTATTTTTATATCTTTTAATAATTTATATCCAAAATATAATATAAGTTTTAATATCAGGAAATCATTTTATTAAAAATTATAATATTATATAACATAATTTAATTAATCTAGATCTATTCCTTGGATGTATCTTTTTATATCTTTTGATAAAATTGATAAAATGAAAACATTTAATTTCAATAAATAAAAGTTTAATTAATATTTAACATAAATAATTAATATTTCTTGCAATACATGTAGGAAACTAGAAACCTGCATTATCAATATATCGGCATTTATTTCTTGTCATTACGTCTATATCATAGCTACAGCCAATTACACATTCACAAATACACATTAAGTGTATATGAAATAATTATTAAAGTAAACTATAAAATATATATTTTTAAATACTTATAATCTTTAATAAAATAATTTTCTAACATGGATATGTTTAGATTTTATTTGTTAAGTATTATAAGATAAAAAAAAGTTAAGTATTAGATAATACAAAAAAAAAAATTCTATATTTTCAAAAAGAAATTCAATCTATTTAAATATGCACATAAATATTTTTTCTTACATGCTTAATATTATATTTAATTTAATATTAAATATTTGATAAAAATAGATTTATTTTATTAATATTTAATTTATAAAACTATTTTATTTATAAAATATTATCATTGATAAAATTAATTTTAGTTTGAAATTATTCAAAAGTAACTAATTTTAATTGCATTTATTTGTACAAATATTTTGCTTACCTTGTATCTTCTTAGTTTATATTTTCTCGGTTGGTTTCCAGCTAAAAGGAAATTATCTTCAGATACGAAATTTTTCTTTCTTAATGATGTTTTCTTTAAATTATGTTTTTTTTTCTTCTTTTCATGATGAAATAATTTATCGAAAATTTTCATTTCAAAACTACTGATATTGAAGATCTCTCAGTAATGATTTTCGTTGGTAACTATACAAAAATATTTATACTACAATTATATTATATTATAATATTATATTATATTAAGCTAATATTATATTATATTAAGCTATTATATCAATATTCTGATTATCATATATATTGCACATTTTAGATGAAAATTTATAGTAGAAATTCACAGTCATCAAAGTCAGGAAGGTAATACAATTCAAAATAAAATAAAAATCAAGAATAATAAAATTACATTTAGTTACATTTGTTTTGTTTATTTTGAAAATTAATTAAGTAATAGCTTATTTTCAACTGAATATATCTAGATAATCCATAGAATAAAAATAGAATAAAATTTTATTCTTTAAAGTTTTTCAGAAAATAGAATTGGAAAATTCATCAATAACGCATTTATTTGATTAGTTATTATTATTATTTAATATTCACTAATCAATATGTTTTAATTTAATCTTTTATTAATTATCTAGTTAGCAAATAATCAAATTCACATATATTTAACAAATGTTCAAATTTGATTTTTTTAAAAACAAAAATTTTAATTCAATTTTGTTATTGAAATTGATTTTTATGTTATATTAAACTATATTATTTCTGTGAGTTCTATTTATAGTAGGAATTTTGATTTATTATTTTAATAATATTTTTTTATTAATTTTTATTTAATAATTTTGTACTATTAAAATACAAAAGTAAATTATATATAATGTATTTCTATTATAAAAAAAATTTAATTAAACTTACTTCTAATATTTAAGTAGAAAAAATATTCAGTAAAGCAAGCAAACACTAATTTATAGACGAATAATGAAAAGTGAAGAACAGAAAAACGATTCGAAATGTGGGCGGCTTCATAACTCGGTTTATCAAAGCGGGTGTTGCTGATACTAGATAAGCCATGAAATCAGTATAAGTTTCATTCATCATCGTATCAATATAAGTTTAATTCATTAGTCAAACAATCGATCTATCGACCGAATGAAGCCTCAGATTCGTAAACTTTTCATATTTTTTAAATTATGCGTTTTGTATTATTGCTTACGTTTTTATTTTTTATTAAATGAGAAAAAAGTATAATATTTAAAATGAATAAACTCAATTTAAAAACAAACTTGTAAAAAATTAAAAAATTAAAAATTGGAATTTTTTAGATTTATTCGTGAAATCATTGATATTAATATTTATCTAATTTTTACTGTTGTACCTATAATTCGTATTATTTGATCATTTACCTATTATTTAAGTTAAAAATAAAAAGATATTTTAGAGAATATAAATATAAATGCATATATAATTATATATACTTAAAATTATTTATAATTAGTTATACTATTTAAAATTATTAATTAAATTATCTTTAAATAAAAAAGATTAATAAATTAATGAAATATAATTATATATAATTATATCATTACATATATATAATTATATATAGTTACATATATATAATTATATATAATTATATATATATATA